CTTCCATGGAAACCACCACCCTTTTAACAGAAATCCCCCCATGCCAGACACTACTCATTTTCAGTTCCCCAATTACTTCCTCCTTCTTTCCTTTTTTAAAAGCTGGTGTCTGCGCCTATATCCACCATTCTGTCGCTTCTTCCCGACTTTCACTTTTAGACTTCTCTAACCGTGAAATTCAGCTAATGTGACTGAAACTTTGATTCCCTCTTTTCAATCACTATTCTTGTACTGTTTACCGTTCCCCGAGCAGCAGCGATTCTTCTATTTTTGATATTGTCTCCCAACATTGAGACACTAATATCGGCAGATCCTAACAGCCAAATTACCATTGTCGGAGATTTCAATGTCCACAACAAGGAATGGCTGAAGCACTCCTAAGACACTACCTTTAAGGGACGCGAAGCCGAGGCTTTTGCTGCGGTCAACATAATTCACTTAGGTGACCTCCCCACATGCATCCTTGATCGTATTGGTGACCGCGCCCACACCCTTGACCTCATTCTCACATCCATTCCCTCTTCTTTCTCCAACATCCCTTTCCTTTCCCCATTAGGCTCATCGGTCCATTGTCTCATTTCTTTTCTCAATCATTAATCTCACCACTAAACTCCAGACGCACCTTTTAGTGTTAAGACTTATTCAACTGGGACGATTTTCGTGACTTCGTCCTGTTATCCCTGGAAGGATTGTTGTTTCAGATCGGATGTTTGCATGTCCGTTTCAAACTTCACGGAGATTGTTCCTCAAGGCATGTATCTTTATATTCCACATTTCTCCAATCCCGGCAAATCACGATCCTCGAGTGATTAAATGACGTTTGCAATCGTGCTGTATGTTTTAAAAAATCAGCATTTCGTCGTTGGCATCCCGTAACCGCTTTGTGAGGGCCAGAAACAAATGCTCGGTCTCGATTCAGCGAGCTAAAGAATGCTTCATTTGTCACAAAGCTGTACGCTTGGCTTTTTCCGCCACCAGTAACCGAAGATTCTGGTCCCTCGCTAAAGCAGTTTCACGTAATTTCTGCCCTTCCAACTTTCCTGTCATTTGCAATTTCTCTGGTACTCTTGTTTGCGATCCCCACGGAAAAGAAGGTATTCGCTTCCTGGTTTACCTCTAACACCACCTTATCTACCGTTCAACCCTCCTCCTACACATCCAGTCACTCCTTTCTACCCATCATAACAACCAGAAAGGTCCGACAAACTTTTCGCGGTTTGGATGTTTTAAACCACCCGGTCCGGACGGTATTCCACCTGTCGTCCTAAAAATGTATGCCCCTGTTCTACGCCGCCTTTTGTTATTCACTCGAACTTAAATCTTTCCCTACCCCATGGGCAAATGCCATTATTTTTCCAATTCCAAAGTGCGGCGACCCTTCCGACTCCAACAACTACCGTTTCATTACTGTTAGATCTGTAGTCTCGAAAGTGTTCAAAACTATTATCTCCCACCAGCTACGTACGTTTCTCGAATGACCGTCAGTATGTATTTCGCCCTCGTCTATCTACGGGTGACTTACTGGCGCTCCATTCACATTCCTGGTCGACTGCACTTGATAACCACGGAGGAACTCACATGGTCTCGCTCGACATCTCCAAGGCCGTTGACCGCGTTTGGCATGAAGGCCTGCCGTCGAAATTGCCCACGTTTCGACTTCACCTGCCCCTGGCCTTGTATTATCCTCAGCAAGCGAACCATCTCCGTCCGAGTAGATGGGGTCCTATCCCAACCGTTTCCTATGTTCCCCAAGGTTCCATACTTTCGCCCATCCTCTTTATTTTATCCCTAACTTCTAATCCCATCCACTGCTTTGCCGATGATGCCATTCTCCATTGTTCTCTTTCTCACCCCACACTCCGTCAAACTAATACCAACATCGATCACGATTGTGATGTTATTGGTGCTTCTCTTGCCTCCGACTCCGGAGGAGTTCTACCAACCGTGTTGCGCGTAAAGTTGATTTTCTATTCCGCGTTTCCTTACACCTAAGCACCTTCCTTTATACAAAGCTCAAATCCGCCCGATGCTTGAATACGGCAGTCACGCACGCGACGGGCTTCATATTCCGCTCTTTCTCTCGTCGACCGTGTTCAACGTAAGGCCGTCCGGCTGATCGACGAACCCTCTTGAACTTTCATCTTGCAGTCGCTTTCCTATCGCCGGGCAGTTGCTTCGTTATCTCTCTTCTATCGTTACTATTTTGATTTCTGCTCTTTCGAACTCGCTTCAGCGGTTCCCCTTCTATTGACCTTCTCTCGTCCATCTCGTTCTTAGGCGAACAGTCACCCTTATCATGTTTTTGACCCCAGATATCGGACTTCTATCTTTCAATCTTGTTTTCCAGAGGATTGCGAAATTGTGGAACATTTCTCATTTCCGTTTCTCAGCTCTTATAACCTTACCCTTTTCAAAAGCAGGATTAACAAGTTGATTCTTACCTGTCACTAAGTTTATCGTTGATTATGGGGTTTACCCTTTTTGCTGTAAATCACTTCGTGTAATAAAAAAGTTTACTGGGGCAAGTGGTCGACCCGCTTAAATTACGTTGGTTGGGGCATATTACGCAAGTCACCAACCAGGTTACCACAGTAAGCGATGTCTGCTGAGACAAACAACGGATGGGAAAAAACCAAGGGTGGTCAAACTAAGAACTAGCGAGGGGATACGAAAATTTTAACCAGGAGACTCGGTCATACAGGGCACGTTTGGCTTAGTTGGTGGGGAACACGAGAGTATCGTAGCGGATGGTTATGGTTATGGTGATATGGCCGAGTCGAAAACGGTGTCGCTTGTACATCTTCGCGATCTGTTTGCAACCTCCATTTACTGGAATTCCTTTTCTTTTCTTTCATTAGACTTCCTATCGAAAATGCATAATAATACCACTTTCGAATGGACTGAAGTAGCTGCAAGTCGGGTTAGCACAAATATCATGATAAACGGAGAAAAAGACGAATGCACTCACTATCAGGTATTTTGATAACGTGTCCAACAGCTGACCAACTGATGGAAGGTTTGTTATAAAGACTCACGATCAGCTCGTCGCCGTGCATAATGCGGAGCTCAGGACCTAGTGGGGCAATGAGATGGATAGCAGAAGTCAACAAAAATTATGCTAAAATAAATAATATTGTCTCATCTACAAGTCCCACTAACTTCTGATTATGATTGGTAACAAATAGTTTCACCGTACAATACGGAATAAACATTCGTCGAACGAAGCAACAAGATAGATCGTGCTTCACTACAAGTATGCATGTACTCAGAAAGTCATGAATTTTCCAATAATGAGTTGAATTTTGTTTTGACATTCAAATAATTGCATTAGCTTTAAAGCGGACATAAATGTCAATGGGTTGAGCCAAGATCTGATCTACGACGCCTCAACTGCATGCCGACAGTACTGGCTTTAGAATACCAAGAACACTATCGCTATGTGAACAGCTCGCAACTTACCAGGATCCTCACCTAGCGGAATCTGGATACTCCAGATTAGACGGTTTGCCATCTGGGAGCAAATCTACATCGCTACCCCCGCACGCGGACAGGGCTGTTTCCATAGCAAATTAATAACAGCGTTTTCGGTAGTGAACACGAACGACAAAGTACCGCAAGCCCAGACTCAACTGATATTAGTCTAAAGATAGTAAAATTGAAATAAACTCCTCGGATGCAGCCTTCAGAGAAAGGCAGCGCTAGCGGTCGATTGAGTCTAAAGCCGCTTTCAGATCCAGGAAGGCAGAAATGAGTCCGCGAAAAGAATATTAATTCCAGAATTTGGTGCAGTAAAAATATGGTCGATACAACTTTGAGCTAAAACCAGCTTGATACAAACCATTCCGCAGACCACACGCTGAGACAGTTATATGAATACTGACTCAGTCTGCGCTGCGTAACCTGTTTAGAGATAAATACAATGAACCAAGTAGATTGTGATTGGTAACATGACGGTGTTTTGTGGACTATTATCTTTCTCAAATAAATTAGTAATGACACTGGCCTTCGACCTTTCAGTTGTTGAAGCTGACCGGGAAGTAACCTGGCACTTAAGTGCGCTGAGTTAGTTTGTCCAGTCATTAGGTCAAGTGATAAAGGAGCAAGAAGCTGGGGGCAGTGCTGACGTGAAATCGTTGGACAGAACTCGCGCAAAAACGGTGACCTTTTACGAAAAGCACTACCATCGGACACATTCAATATTAAGAGACTTCGGTTGGTCTACATTTGAGCTAAGCCGCTTACCACAATGTTCAATATACAGTCTTTAAACGGTAACGCACGAAATTTGTCGGACAACCAAACGAGAAATGCCGAGGATAGGCGCTCGTTAACGGGTATTTGCCTCTCATTGACCTGGTGTGCAACACGGAGTACGCCTTGGTATGTGATGTTTCAGAGGCAGGCGGTGATTGAAAGGAGGCCAAAAGCCAGCAGAACGAGGCCCCAAATAAAGTGCAAATCTTAACTTATCGGCCCAGTGGTGTAGGTTGCACGAGGCTTGCAGTTGGGGATCTCAGGACCAAACGCTAGCAGGTCTGTCAGTTCACTTTATACAACCACTTAAACTGCACGTTCGCGCGTACGTTTACCGTTTCCACTTTACTGGCGCCCCTGGTGGGCGGCAAACAGATACAGGTTATGCATAAAGAAAAACAGCCGACTTCAACGAGCGAACCACGAGATCGGACACTAGGTACAAACTACAGCAATGAGAACGGCTCACTGGCATTGCTATAGCCTACTCCACCCGGCATTTGGTGAATATTACTTAGCTAATCAAACCATCAAAAAAGAAAACTATAGGCCAAAACATTTTACGGGCAATTCAACAGACGTTACACTTACCTTCATTTGCGCCTGGAACACGAAAATACGCCACATGACAGCGATTAAGTGCCGTTTCCCACCGTATAACTACATTTTCCAATTTCAGAGATTCCTTGATCTTTTTGTCATACTCCGCTTCCAACTTCACTAGCGGAACAAAAGTGTCGCAATACTCCGCAGTACATGAGTACCTATAAATGAAGTCATCTGTTTACTCATTTTACCTCAGAAGCACTGGGTCAACTTTATTATCGGTCCCAGGTTTGTTAAGATCATCGACAGCTGCTTGAGGGTTTTCCTTCCACATCTCCTCGAGAAGATTAATTTGCTGAGCAGACAACTGTCGTGCCTTGGCTTGGGCCTCTTCTGATGGCACTTTCACTAGCCACGACAAGAACTGTCGACCTTGAATTATGGGCTGCCACTGAGCTGGATCCCAATACATATCCTTATTTTGATTTGCACAGCCACTTCTACAGAGAAGAACCACAACTGATTCGGATTTCGCAGGTACGAATCCTAAAAGAAACACGTTCTTGGAACCACACACGTAGCATTCTAATAAGGTATCCTTCAACGGACCGTCCTTGTGCAAGGTAACCTCCTTTGCCCGAGCACGGACAAGATGATTCACGATATGGCTAAAAGCTGAATTACACTGATGGAAAAATTACCTTCCAGATGTGTTTCCCTTCCCGTTACAAAACCACTTTTTGGTGGTATTACAAAAGACAACACATGCAGGATCATGTATGCCACAGTAAGCACAAGCGTGTTCGGGAAGTTCGACAGGTTCGTCAGGCTCTTCTTCCTTGATTTCAATCTCCGACAATCGCTGACTGATTGAAGCTATTCCATTCTGTACTTCATTCTGAGAAACTGCATAACAATGTCCAGAGGAAACATACCTTTTGTTGAACCCCAGGATCAATTTGCGAGGCCTGCGTTTGCGACTGTGAAGGGAGAGTGAAATCGCCACAATCGAAGTCGGGCCCCTGGGTATCACCACCAATTAGGTCATTCTCTTCCGGGTCAAAAAACGTCAACGCCTGAGAATTAGGCCCATAAGCATCAAATGAATCCATGTGAGGCCACCCGGAGAGCAACCCACAGCGCGCCAAAACAAAATTATTTTATCGCGATAAACAAATCCGTTTCAGGTCATCTTGCACAGGACAGAAATGACCAGGGTCAATTGAGCGTTCTGAGTTCTCTCAGTAGTATACACAAGTTCTGCAGCCACCAGTGCATAGAATATTCAATGCAGCTTATACATATATCCTATCCTCTGCATTCAAGAAACGACAGGGATTGACGGGATTGAAAACCGAAGTTGTTGAGTTCAGTTCAAGACAGGACAGGACACAGGACTTGCGGTGAAGCCAGATGGGATCCAGTTTATTGCACCAGGCGAGCTCGAAATGAGGGACACGGTGCTCCGACAGTTGTTGGTGTTCCCATTGTTTTTTCGTCGTTCCACACTTGGCGGTAGGTTCCAATTCTTTTGCGTGGTATTTCCTCTCTGTGAATTTAAATTAAACTGCACTGGAAAGAACGGTAAAACGAACTATACATTCCGTTTTACTATTTTGCATTTAAACACAAGCTACATAGCACAATTTCTGGCTTCAGATACACCTTTGTTGAATGCTTTTTGAAAATTAGGTTTTTGTAAACGCTTTTTCAGTAATTACTGGCGCTCCTTTTACGTTTTGTTCAGTACAGTAAATTTAATGTCCCACATTTATCAATTTAATTATATTAGTACGCTCTGTACTGTAAACAGTAGACTAGATTGGGATTGCAAAGGGGTTGCAAGCCACCATAAAGCCCAATGTGCTCTCCCCGAAAGTCATCAAGACTGGCTGAGACAAAATGAGTGCAGAGTGAGGAAGTAATGATGTAGTGACCAAGCAACTCCCATTCTACATGTACCCTTCCTCCTGTGCATCTCACTGTCCTACCCCACCAAGGCCGCCTCTTTGGTCAGCACGTGTTTACTTACACTTTCCGCACGCTTGCTCACGCTTCTGTCTCACTATCTTGCTCTGTAGGTAGTACCAATACAACCTGTCCTCCGTTTCGTGAATCGTCTCGTTCTGTTTTTGTACGAACGTTCGTTTGCGCCAGATATGTGTTAGCTCGGGGTAGCGATAAGTCAGTCCCTACAAATAGTTGAGCCCTCTTAGTTTATTTTATTTACGTTGGAAATTTTTTCTGAAAAATTTTAAATTCTCTAGGTCATATTTCTAGTAAATTGTCCGCACAATGATTTTTCCGTGTCCTCTTTCGTTCATTCAATTTCAAAATATACCTATCTCTAGTTTTGTGGTTTAAGGCTGATTTACCATTGGATTTTTCCATTTTCGCTTGTCCAAAGTATTTTTTATTCTGGGCGCGATGTGGTCATATTTTTATAATCGGTTCGACCTCACATTATATATTAACGATTAAATATGACTAGCCCCCATCATAAGTATCCCGTAGACAGCGAAGCACTCTCGGCCCACATTAGGGAACCCGAGTACATGGCGGAGGACCTAGATGTTGATATTGTTTGTGGTTGTTGATCGGGTTGTAACAAATGCTTCGGCATCAATTCTTCATGCAATC